CTTATTTTTAAAAAGCAACAGTCATGTCATGTCTAAAGGAAAGAGTTCGACAACAGGATGGATATTGACACAACTTTTTTTCAGGGAATTTTGTTATTAGCTAACAAAATTGTATGTATATTTTCCATTTGACCAAGCAATTTGTAGAATTTTTAACTGAAGGTATACATCCAACAACAGAAACATAAAAATAAAAAGATGGATCCTGTTTTCTAATCTAACCTGTTAATCTGTGTCTCTTAATTGGGAAATGGAGACTGTTAATACTGAGAGTCTTTATTGAACAGCCTAACATATTCATATAAGAAAATGGCTGAATAAGTCATAGTTCACCCATTCAGTGAAGTGCCGTGCAGCAATAAAGGCAGTAAGGAACATCTATTACTGTACATGGAGTGAAGTCTAACACATTTGTTAAGTGAAAAAAAAGCAAAGGAGGTTTGGGGTTATAACCCTAAACTATAGCATGCTTTCATTTATGTGTGAAAGAGAAATAAGAACACAAATATTTGTTTGCTCACTGAGGCAAAAATAAGACAGATAAACAAGAAAATAATGAAATATATTACCTATAGGCAGGAAGTGAAAATAGAATGAAAAGAAGAGACATTTCCCTAATCATACATTTTTGTATAATTTTGATATTTAAAACTATGGTTTTTCTAGGTAAAAATGGTAGAATACAAACTAAAATGTCATATAAAGGGAAATAAGCCCATCTAAATGATTAGCATATTCACACTTGAGGAAGATACTTAACCTAAACAGTTTAGGGTGCCTATACTTTCAGGCATGGATGAGAATACTGTGAGTGGGAGATCAGTGGTTTCTATGCTTTCAGGGCACAAACAAAATAAAACTTCAAAATTTTCCAGGTTTCATTCTTACCATGATAAATTTAGGAACCCTAAAACCTATTTCTCTGTAAGACAAATACATAAGTATATTGTTGAACTAAGTAACTTGCCTTTGGAGAACAGAGTTACAAATATAGATAAAAGGAAAGATAGGGAAAATCTATAGTCACAGACTGGAAATGAAGACACAATATAGATCAATGGCAGATATAAAGAAGGAAAAAATTTCCATAGACATAGAATTAGACTGCATTCTTCACGTGTACTTTTCTTGTTCTGTCTGCTGAAAGGTAAAGAGGCAATGGTACTCCATGAGCAATGAATGTAGTGTCCAGAGTTTAGATTCTAACCACAATGAGGAAAGCAGAATGAAAACATGTACATTGATTTAAAAAAAAAAATAAAGAAAAACCAATATTCCTTAGAAAAAGAGCAAATTCTAGTCATGGGTCTAGAAAATCACAAAGTGAATGTCAGGCATTTTGTTTTACCTGAACATAAGGAAGTATTCAAATTTATAAGAACTAGACAAAAAGGAAACAGGAACTATTTTGGAATCTTCTATGGGACAAATCAGGAACAATTTGGGAATTAAATAACTTCAGTAACAGATCATGGCTCATAAATAAAGAATTTCTTATTGATATAGACACTGGTTCCATGGTGATTTCATATAGAAAAATTAATGAATAAATGAATAGGTGAGAAAGCTTTTCTTTACAGTGGAATATCAATTAATGAATATAAATGTAATGGCTGAATAACATTTGGGAGTCATCTGAGTAGTAATTAAGTAATACAAAAATCATTAATGAGCTAAAGTTAGCAGGTGAAATTTTGATTTTTAAATGAAGTATTTATGTAGTCTTGAAATATCCCTTCCTAAGAATACTCATTAATAATAAGGGCATAATAGTAACTTAACACTACAGAAACCTACTTGTATGATTAAAGTGACCACTACCAATAAAAGGACCATTAGGCAACACGGACATCCAGACAAGCATACAGCATCCATCCTCTGATATCTCTGCCCCCAAAATGCAAAACTTCTAATTGTGAAGAAGCATTATATAAAATCAAACTGACTAATGTTAGCAACCAGCCTCCATGATGGTCCCCCCCCCCCCCCCCGCCTCATCTCTGACTCTCAGTATTCCCATCCATGCATAGTGTCTCTCTGGCACTAAGAAGAGGCTGATCTTTGTTCTGAAAACCCTATGACTGCTGAGAATTATGAAAGACATTCTGGCTTCTGTCCTTCTTGATCTAAAAGAAGTTATCTGTCATAAGGTGAGAATTTTCAACCCCTACAACTCAACAGCCCAAATGGCCATAAACACGTGATGAAGAAATGAGGAATCCAGCCAACAGCCACTGAGTAAGCATCTTCTGTGTGGCTTTTCCTGTCCCAATCAACCAGATAACTGTAGTTCCAGCTATCATTTTGACCACAATATCAGGGAAGATGTCCAGTCCAGCTAAATTGCCTCCAAGTTATGACTTCAGAAACTGAAAGGTACTATTTAGTCTCACTTTAAGCCACTACCAATCTTAGTGAAATTTGTTACCATACTATATAATAGACAAATATTTTAAGTGCCATTCTAGAAGCTTCAAAGATATCAAAGATAAACAATGAAAGAAACAACAAAATTCCAGATCCAGAGGTTGGAGGGGGCTGTCAGTAAAATGCTTGTCATACAAGCATAAGGGCTTGAGTTCAGATTTCCAGAATCCTGGTAAAAAGCTTCACCCAGTCTACCTATAGTCCTAGGACAAGGGAGGCTGACAAAGGCAAGTGGAACTTGTTGACCAGCCTAGCACAATCTGCAAGTTTGGGGTTTGGAGAGAGACCTTGCCTCAAATAAAAGGGTGAAAGCAGGCAAGAAAACATTTCTCTAATCTCTACATACATCTTTATGCACATGTACATGAACATGTACATACACATAACACACACACACACACACACACACACACACACACACACACACACACAAACTACCACTCCCAGAGATTTTTTTTCAAATTAAAGAAAAAGAGACCCAAGAATCAAACATATGATCCTGAAGGGTGGAAGGTTTTGTTGTTCTTATTTTGCCATAACAAAGACTATTGAGATAATCATCAAAATTTGAATACAGTAAAAATATAAAATAGCACTGTACCAATATTAGTGTATGGTGATAATTTATTTGTACTGAAATGTGATTTTATTTGTATGTTAATAAATAAAGTTGCCTGGGGGTCAGAACTAATAGCAAGCCATAGCAGAAGTCTGGCAGTGGTAGCACACGCCCTTAATCCCAATCACATGACAGGCAGATCTCTGTGTGTTCAAGGACACCACCAGCATGGAGACACACACCTTTAATCTCAATACCAACTATAGAAGACCTGGAGGTCTGTACAGACAGGCAGTGATGAGGAGGTCATGTGGTTGGGTTTACAACCAATGAGAAGGCAGAACAGAAAGTCAATAAATAGGACAAACATACAGGAAGTAGTTCTCTTGTGGAGAGGTATGACAGCAGTGGCAGTGAAGGGTAAGAAAGGGTTTTCTAACCTGGAGCTTATGCAGGGACACTTGGCTCAGTCTGGGAGGAAGGGACTGGACGGGCCTGGACTGAGTCTACCAGGTTGATCGCAGTCCTCGGGGAAGGATTTGTCCTGGAGGAGGTGGGAATGGGGGGTGGGCTGGGGGTAAGGGGAGGGGGTGGGAGGGGGAGGATAGGGGAAGCCGTGGCTGATATGTAGAACTGAATAGTATTGTAAAATAAAATAAAAAAATAATAATAATAAAAGAAAGAAAGGGTTTTCTAGCTCTTAACTACTGCTGTGACCTCTTGGGCTTTTAACTCTGAATTTGGCTCTGTGTTTCTTATTTAACAGGATGATTACATCTACATTAGTGTCTTGTAATTGATCTTACACTATACTGATAGAGAAGTGTCCTTATTTTTAGAGATACATATCAAAATATTTAAAGGAGAGATAAATGCCTATAATTTATTTAAGAATATTCAATGTAACAATTACATAACACAACTGCATAGTCAAAGATATATACTTATATATATTTTTATACCAACAGAGAGACAAATTTTCTAAAATGTCTACCTTTAGAAAACCCCTTCAAGGGCATCAAGATTATGATGGGAAAAACCTACAGAGACAACCAAACCAAACTAGTGGGAACTCATGAAATTTAGATCAATAGCTGTGGAGCCCATATGGGACTGGACTAGGCCCTCTGTATAGCTAGACAGTGGTGTAGCTTGATCCGCTTAAGGGCCCCCCCTGGCAGTAGGATCAGAATCCACTCCTGGTGCATGAGCAGGCTTCTTGGAGCCCATTACCTAAGATAGGACACCTCCCACACCCTTGAGGCAGGAAGAGGGCCTTAGACCTGCCTCTACTAAATGTACCTCACCATGGGAGGCCTTATGTTCTTGTAGGAGGGCATGGGGGGTGGGGTGGGAGTGGGAGGCTGGCAGGAAGAGGGAAGAGGGGGATCTTTGATTGCTACGTAAAATGAATAAAAAAATCTTAATAAAAATAAATAAATCTTTAAAAAAAGAAAAAAGAAAAACCCTTCACAGATACACAGAAATTAAAATTGTCACTATTTACACTGGAGTGAAAGACTGCAATCCCAGGCAGTGTTATTCCTGAATTTCCACATTAAGTTGTTTTTTCAAACTGAGAGTTGACTACATTAGTTGGGTTTAGAAATGAATTCACTGGAACAAAATACAAAACAGGTTTAAAAATACAATGCTGTACATTAGCACAGCATATGAATATTGTAGATTAGTAGGAATGAGCATTATTTTGTGAAATGATTCATATCTAGGCGGGGAAAAGGTTAATGTACTCGGTTGCATAGTCAACAAAAAGTAGGAAAGCCAAGCGCTGAGCAGGACCCAGCTTGAGCCAAAAGCAGACTTCCCCGGGGCCGCCCCTCCCTGTCTCTTCCGCCCCTGGCCACCTGCAGATGTGCTCCACAAATCTTCAGTGCCCAGAGCTGAGCTGACTATTTAAAGGTCCGTTCCCCACAGCTTACAGCCAGCCGCCTGCAGCTAGCCAAGTCCTCCTATCCTTGCTGGAGGCTCACAACTCTGAGAAAGCAACCCGCTGATGGGCTGCTGTGGTGGCATGGGAGCCTTGGGTTCGCTCTGGGTTTTCTTCACTCTCATCACGCCAGGAGTTCTTGGTGAGCGGGGCATGGGAATGCAGATAGGGGAACTCCTGCGGGGTTGGAAAACTTCTGTGCTTATACAAAGGCTAGAGACCAAACCAGGAATGTCAGGGCCCTGCTGGATACAGACAGCTTTTGAGACTCCCTCAGTCTCTGATACAGAATGTCTCCACTTCTTCTGGGAGCTGGACCACCACCATTGAAGCCTCAGCCACATATGGGCGCTTTGGAAAGACTGCTGTCTTGGTTAGGTGGTTCTCTTTTCTCTCCAGCTCCCAGCCTCCTGAGAATTCAGCAAATGCTGAAATAGTTCCACCAACGGTCCCAGGCTGTGTTCAAGGATCACAGAGCACATGTGCCTCTGTGCATGCAAAAATCCTCTCCAGCCATGGAAGGATGGTTGAGTACGGGTTTCTTTTCTTGAAGAACATCTGATTCTCCAAATACGGGTCTCAAATTTTTTTAAACTTTGATACAATATTCAAAAACTAACTGGACTTAGTTTTTAAAGTTGAACATGAATCAAAACTGCGACTTCTGTAACGGTGTGTGCTTCCATAGGTCCTCCTTCAACGTTCTTCATAAGAGTTTTTGTTTTGTTTTTATTTCACAGATTGGCTGGTAGTGAAGGCGTAGGTTATAAGACATTCACTGTAAGCAAACCTCAATAGCTGGGTGAATTTTGGCAAGTCGCAATATAATTTGTTCTCACAGTGAATGTATTCATAGTTTGTAAGGCATTTACTGTAAGCAAACATCAATAACTGGATGAATTTTAGGAAGTCAATTAGAGCCCCGACCCTCAGTTTCTTATACATGAAATGAAGTTAGAAAGAGCTGTGCTGCCATTCACAGAGCTGTGAGAAATCAGGAGCTGCCAGAGAAATTATGTTAAGGGCAGTTGATGATACTAAGTGTAGCAATTAACAGCTAATGGTGGATCTAGTCATTAAAGGGTCCGAATATTATATATTAATTCTGGTACAACTTCTACTGGAAAATAAATCCTAGGAATGGCTGGACCTTGTTTCATGTTCACTGATGAGTGTTTTATGCTTAGTACCATAACTTTCTTTAACATACATGACTCTCATTTAAAAAAATCATCCTTTAGATAGCCAGGAACCCCAGGCATTTGATGATAATTCTCAATAATGATCTCTCTCCCTTCCTGTTTCTGGCCAACTTTTCAGATTTATTTTTATCCTATACATAAATCTTCCATCTACTTCCAAAAGATTTCTAAATCATCCATGTAAAGCCCCTTAGATCTAAATAGTTAATTACACCCTGTCCTCCAGAAATATTTTCTGTGTTAAGTAATCACTACTCTGATCTTCACTCCTGGTGTTAGAAAGAGGTAAAGAGGGAACAGGGGCTTTCAAGAAAACCCTCTTATGCAATAACTTGTAGACTAGCCTTTCTTTTTCTTTTTTTTTTTTTTTTTTTTTTTTTTTTTTTTTTTTTTTTTTTTTTTTTGGTTTTTCGAGACAGGGTTTCTCTGCGTAGCTTTGCGCCTTTCCTG